CTAATTACTCAGTTTTTTTTTCTTTGCCATGGTGACAGAACATAATATGTTACCAGATATTTTTCAAGACACTAGTATTCAGCCTAAAGGGAAATTTAAAGGCACAACTAGGTCGATTAGGTTAACTAGGCAGGTTAGTGTAATTATGCAAATCATGGTATAACAGTGGTTTGTTCTGTTGACAATCGCTTAATATAATAATTTATAATAAAAATATAGCTTAAATAATAATTTCGACCTTAAAATGTCTTTAAAAAAAATACAACCAAAATTAAACAAAAAAGACTTTCCTGAAGATTTGTTTTTTTAATTCCCTTGCTCTGTTAAACATAATTTGGGAAATAATTAAAATAGAAAAAAAAATCAAAGGGAGGCTAATAATTCTGACTATATAGCTATTGCTATTGTCTCCATCAGTTTTCTATTTTAGGATTTGAATTGTATTTTTCTTACCATTAACTGCATTTTAAAGATTTATTTTATCAAGCCTCACAGTTAAAATATAAGATTTGAACATGTTACAATTTTTCTCAGAAAGCATATTTCTAAAGGAGCTGTTGACTCAAAATTTTCACAAGATCTCACTAACAACCAAAGTTTAGAAATTAAGTTGTGTAATAACATGATATGACACATGAAACAAGTATTGAACACACAAAGAAAGGTAGGTGTGAAAAGGCATGGAAAGGTCAGACTGCAGCTGAATTCAATGCAGTGAGAAAGCAACTCTGCCCTTCATCAGTGTAAACGAATATTAGCTGCTTCAGTTCCAACTTCTACATAAACAGATGATGAAGATGAAAGTTGGGTGAACATTTCAGCAAGACCATGATCCCACACAGTTATCTAACACAATTGTTTTCAAAACGAAAAAGAGAAAAGCTAGAATGGCCCAGCCAATCACCTAACCTGAATCCTATGGAAAATAGAATCACAAAATTATAGAAAAGAGTCACACAAAACCATCAGATTTAAAGACTGTTAAATGACGAGTATGAGAAACAAATCGCACATGAGCAATGCATGCGACTCCATTCTCCACACAGGAGGGATGTTGAAGCTGTCATTACCAAAAAAGCCTTTTATGCTCAATATTTGATACATAGTTCAGTACTTCCTTGTGTCATTCCATTGTTATTACACATAACATTTGTTTATTTATTTTTTTTTTTACATTTATTCATTTTCATATGTGTTAATGTAACAGTTGAAGCATTCACAGTATCTTCAGTTCAGCTTTCCAAAACATAGAAAGTCACACAGGTTTGGAATTGCATTCAGGTGAAAAAAACGTTGACATTTCATTTTCATCTGAGCTACCTCTTTGTTTTTGCAGTTGTCATCGCCATGATGTGTAAAAATGTATAGATGTAGCATTCATGGACCAACGAACAGCGCCTGCCAGTGCGAATTTCCACATCAGATGCTTTAATGGCCGTTCCCGTATGACTTATAGGTTTCCTGTGGCGTGTTTTGCTGTGCCCTGCAGGTTGTGGACATTTCTCTCAGAAGTTTGGGCTCGGTGTCTGCTTGATTGATGTAGTTGCGACAGTTTCTGCATTGTCTATCAGCTCTATCTTGACAACATTACATGGGAGGCCCAAGTTTTTTATTTCTCTAGACAAAGCTTTTTCTTACTTATTCCACTGCTATCAGTCTTCTCATCTTTTCCTCTCTCTCTCTCTCTGGCTGGATTTATCCAAGGAAATGTAGTTCTGCGATGTAAATCTGCAGATGTGTTTATCTATCAGGCTGTATTCCTCCAATGCTCTGTTATACACACAGACGTTCTGAAGATAAAATTGAACTATTTGCATAGTTACAGAGCGATAAGAAGCTCATCAGAAAGCTTGCCATCTCATGAACACTCACATTTATCTGTGAGATTATATCTGTGAGTCATATTACTTTTTCACATTAAGTATTATTTTGTAACCCTTTTCATGGCAACTTTGATAATTGTTTTGCTGAAGTACAGTGTGCGCAGTCATGTTCGGTTTTTATTAAAGAGAGTCAACATTACATTACCACTGAAAATAGATTTGCGCCGTACTCTTCTGATGTTTATGTTTGTGATGTGTATATACACATGTGATATATACGTATGTATGTTTATTCTCGGTGTTTGTAACAGTAGATTATTCTCTTATCAGGTTAATTTTTTTCCTGGATCAAAAAATGCACCAAAAGCACACACATAGTTTATTTATATTATTCAATAAGTGGACTACTTTCAGTACACTAACAGTACAAAAAAGTACATTAGTTGTTATTTTTGTCATGGTTATTCTGTTTATTGTTAGTTTTGTTAAATAATTCATTTAATTAACTGATGTGACCTTATTTTAAAGACCTCATAAATAGATAAACATGTTAATGCAGTTTCTGAATTGCATTTGTATTTTAATCTGCATGTAAATCATCATTTTTTGTGTGTGTATGAAGCAGGACTCACTCTGCACATTGTGACAATTGACAGTAACTCCAGTTAATGACTGAACTGTGTGAAAACAAATCAAGAATAAGCACTAAAAGGTGAACTGTCAGATTTGGTGTGTATCTAATATATAGTGCATGCTTTAGTCAAGATAAAAATTCTTATTTTGTAAGTTTTTAAGGATTAAACCCAGCAGGCACAGTACTTCAACATGATGTCAGATTGACGTTGTGCCCCAACGTCATGGGACGTTGCATTTTAATTGGAAATGACAAACGGGTTGACGCCAGAACCCAACGTCAGGCCGACATCATGTCCAGTGTCAGACAGGCGTTGCATTTTGGTTACTTTCCAACGTAACATAAAAACAACAAAGTATCAACGTCTGATGATGTTACAGCTTGACGTTCTGTGGACGATACCAATGTGATATCTATCAGATTTTGGTTACCATACCTGACGAATAAATGTCTGTATTCATTTATTTTCTTGTCGACTTAGTCCCTTTATTAATATATATATATTATTTTCCCAAGTGTATATACCTACTGTAAGAAAATATCAGCATTTGCGCATACTTTCAGTATTATCTTTGCTTGAACTGACCCAATCTAATCCTGTTTATATGAAATGAACCTGTTCCCATGCAGGTTTGATCTACCAGAACTATTACTATGACGACAAGTCTCAAATGAGTTTTAAACAATGAAACCATCCTGGATCGTGTCAAATCTTCAACATCCAAAAACAGCTAACTGAATAATTCACGTACGAAGAACGGACCCCTGAATGACTATTTAAAACTATTACAACAATAAATAGAAACAACTATGAACAGACTGCTAAATTAACATGGTCACTAGATTTATGGCTGCTTTTTGCTGTGGAATGTCTGTGTGTGTGTGTGTGTGTGTGTGTGTGTGTGTGTGTGTGTGTGTGTGTGTGTGTGTGTGTGTGTGTGTGTGTGTGTGTGTGTGTGCGTGCGTGCGTGCGTGCGTGCGTGCGTGTGTGTGTGTGCGTGTGTGCATGCGTGTGCGTGCGTGCATTTGTGTGTGTGTTTGTCTACATAAAGTATTTAATTACACTTAAGTTTTTTTCTGAGCATATTTTGCTTGACTGTCTAGCTAGCTAATGTCTTGTTTGAACTATTGTAAATCTCATAGTGCTTCTGTTTGTAGGAGTTTTTTTTTTCAATTGTTCATGCACGTTCAATAAATTCAGAAAGCTTATAGTCAACAAGAAAATTTTAGAAGAACTCTAATGTTTAAAAGCCGAATTTTGAATCGTGTTCAATAGCCTATTGAAAGCCTATTATGGGAGGGTTTGCGTTGTAGGGTATTTTGTATTCAATTAAGGTGGATCCATTCAATTAACAATGTAAATTGTGTTTATTCGGATGTTTACTGAGAAAGTCAGTTTCTCTGGTGGCTAGTGTGCAAAACTATTTGCTCAGCTTCTTTGAAAAAAAAAGTAATTAGTTTCTTTGCTGAAAAAAAAAAACTAAACAAAAGTCATTGTGTTTCCTCTAATTTTCATTGGGATTTGTAATCCATTGATCCACCTACATCTTTAAAGAACTGTGCTTTAAAACTTCATGATCAGCCAGGGTTTGCTGAAATGAATCGAGCACACAGTTTCTCTAGGGACACATGGACAAACAGTTATTGTGTGAAAGTTACAGAGACTACTGGGTTTCATTGTTTTTTTTTTTAACTCAGAGTATAATTCCACCTCTATTTGCTGCTTTCTGTATAGTAGGCTCAGTGTATTTTCAATGCGATTTTGGCTTTATTAATAATTGATTTTTCCAGCTCTCGCTGTTATAAAACTTGTCAACAACAAAATTAATTTACTCTCTTTTTGGGATCTGTGATGAAATATTTATTACAATGCAAATAAATACGACAAAGTAGCCTAACTGCTTTTGATTTGTATAAATACAGGAAAGGAATGGGGAATAAATGTGTCTAAATGAAGAATGAATTTAAATGCTCTTTGACATATATTACACCTCCTTCCCAAGATGCATTTGTGCATAAATGTAACTGTGCTGCATATGGGAAACAATGCGCAGCCACGCAAAGCTGACAATAATACTACCATCTTCCAATCCACAATGGGCTTTTTAAACAGGCACATTGTCAGATACATACCAAGAAACAGCCTTTTTAAAATCCACTTTTAATCATTGTATAAAACAAACTGCATGTTTAAACATCCAAACCTGCAGCTCTGAGATGGCAGCATCTATTAAATGTCATATCTCATAAATTATTTATGTCCACTTTAACTAGGTTTCCTTGAGAAATTGTTACACTGGCGTTAAACAGAGGCAATAAATTAGCAGCATATGGCAATACACTGAAGAGAATTGCATTTGCCCTGTGAAATCTGGACACATTACCACACCTTTTCTCTGCGGGATAAGCCTGACATTTGCTGCATTAATTGCCACTGGTTGTTCCATTAATGGTCAAAGTGCTTAACTCTCGTAAAGTAGAGCCTATGACACTTAGAGCCTCTAATTCTCACTGTGCCTCTGTTTTTTTCTGTTCTTTTCCAGCCTGTGAGCTCATGAATCAGGGGATACTCGCTTTGGTGTCGTCTACAGGATGCGCAGCAGCCAATGCGCTACAGTCTCTCACGGATGCCATGCACATTCCTCATCTGTTCATCCAGAGGAACGGTGATGGGACGCCCCGTGCTGAGTGCCAGCTTAATCCCAGTCCTGACGGGGAACGGTACACGCTGGCTGCTCGGCCTCCTGTGAGGCTCAATGATGTCATGATCACACTCGTCTCTGAACTGCGCTGGCACAAGTTCATCGTTTTCTATGACAGCGAGTACGGTGAGTTACATGATGGGTGGCAAGGGTGAACCTACTAGAAATATCAAAATATTTTGCTGGAACTACTTATTTAAAATTAGCTAAATCGACACAATGACAACGCAGTGGCGCAGTAGGTAGTGCTGTCGCCTCACATCAAAAAGGTCGCTGGTTCAAACCTCAGCTGGGTCAGTTTGCGTTTCTATGAAGAGTTTGCATGTTCACCCTGCGTTCGCGTGGGTTTCCTCTGGGTGCTCCGGTGTCCCCCACAATCCAAAGACATGCTGTATTTATATTCAATCCACTTAAATTTGTAAAAGCAGTTAGGTTAACTTAATTGATTTGTGTAGGAACAACATGAAAGAATTACATGTACCCAGCATTTTTTTACAGTGTAGAGCCGTATGTATAGGCCAGACAGAATATGCAGACATTTTTTGCTATTTTTGTGGAGAATTTTTTTAAAAATCTGTGGATTTATGTGGAATTATTTTGGGAGTATTGTAACTAAAATCTTAATTTATGTAATAAAAAAACAATGTTTACAATGCAAATACAATTAGATCCACTTATTTGGTAAACAAAGCAAGTCTGTCATATAATATATCCACGAAAAAAACAGAAAATAACACTTTACAAACTAAATTGCAAATAAATCATAAGAACACTTTCATGTTAGTCAATACTATTACTAAAATTTACTAAAATTAAGTAAAAAACTGAACAAATAAAAATGTACATGCATTTAAAGAAGTAAATAAATAGACTAAACGATGGGCTAAATATCTTTCCATATGGGCTTAAATATGATATCTCTTTTTTTCCCTTATTATGTTTCTTCATTTTGGTGACCAAGTTTTTGAATTCATAAGACATTATTTATATTTCGTTTTATTCAAATGTATCAAAAACTATTTGATCAATTGAATTCATTCATTTATACATTTATTCATTCATTCAAATTAATAAAGGTAGCACTATGTGATAGCCCTAGAAATCCTATGTGGTAATTAAATGAAGGCATTTTCAATGTACCTTTTTTGCTAGCAACATGTTTCACAAAAAATGTACTGTCAAAATGGTGAAACATTGTGTTAATGTGTATTAATACATTTACTGTATCATATTTATTAGTAGTGAGTTCATTCATTCATTTATTCATTTTCCCTCGGCTTAGTCCCTTTATTCATCAAGGATCTCTACAGTAGAATGAACCGACAATTTATTCAGCATATGTTTTGCACAGCGTATGCCCTTAAAGCAACTGGGAAACACTTATACACTCTCACATTCACACACATACACTATGGCCGATTTAGTTTATTTAATCCACTTATAGCACAGGTCTTTAAAAACCCATGCAAACACGGGGAGAACATGCAAACTTCACACAGAAATACCAACTGACCCAGCCAAGAATCGAACCAGCAATCTTTTTGTTGTATGGCGACAGTGCTAACCACTGAGTCATCATGCCACCCCTATTAGTAGAAGTGATAGTAATTTATTACTTGCTTATTTCTCTTGTGCAGTGACAATGTATCTTTCAAAGTTTCTTCAACTTAAACTAAACACTTTCTAATACAGGGAGGCCAAAACACCATAAAAGTTGCGCTAATGTTGGAATATTTGATTCCATCCTTTTTTTTACACATTGTGAAAAATCACTGCTAAATCTTTGGAAATTTCGGTTAACAAATCTGGTTGGCCGTTCATGATAGAAAAGCAGGAGTCATGTTGACACCTTTAAAGTAAGTTAGGATATGAGGTGGATTCACAATTCATTATGATATTTTGGCAAATAGCAACTTCAGAGGACATTATAAAGCAAAAGCTGATTCAGTCCACAAGCAGTGCAGCAAGAGAATTCTTAGTACAAAGACATCAGCTCTGATGTTAAAATTTGATGTGAGCAGGTGGACTCTGGCAGACCAAAAAGCATGCTGTCAGTTGTTAACTAGCATGAGCATTGCAGTGTTTTGAAAAGTGTAAAACTTTAAGAATGGACTTGGATAACCTTCTGATGCCTTCATTGAGCCAGTAGTGTTTCACTCTATTGGAATGAAGTTTGCCTTTCATAATCCAAAATAGCTATATATCTGATCTCAGCTTTAATATTAAAGACTGCTTTTAACAGGACCTCTTTGAGATGTAACCCAGCCCAAGACTGAGCATTGCTATTTACCCTCCACCTTGGTATACAGTGCTTTTTTGTTTGATTGGAATGTCAACGTCAGAAAGCTGAGTCAAGGTTTTATTCAAAGCATTGTCAATGTAACAAAAATGTAAAGTAAAATATATCTGTCTTTGGAATGTAATACTTCTTAAATATCAGATGCAAAGCAAATAACTTTCAAAATGTAATATTTTTGAGTTCCAAAAGTATTATTATTATTTTTTGTATTTTTGTTAGATATGGCTTTATCTGACTTATCTGACTTTAGTTTGTCAGTCCCAATCTGAAGGAATCTAATCATATTTAAATTTGTACAATGCTAGTTGAAGCCAGAATAATTACCCCCCGCCCCACCCCCCTTTGAATTTCTTTTATTTTTAAAATATTTTCCAAATGATGTTTAACAGATCAAGAAAATTTTCAGAGTATGTCTGATAATATTTTTTCTTCTTCTAGAGAAAATCATATTTGTTTTATTTAAGCTAGAATAAAAGCAGTTAAAAAAAACATTTAAGGAAAAAATTATTAGCCCCTTTAGCTTATTTATTTATTTATTTATTTATTTATTTATTTATTTATTTATTTATTTTGATAGTTTATAGAACAAAGCATCATTACACAGTATCTTGCCTAATTACCCTAACCTGTTAACATAATTAATTAACCTAGTTAAGCCTTTAAATGTCACTAAGCTGTATAGAAGTGTCTTGAAAAAATATCTAGTCAAATAATATTTACTGTCATCATGGCAAAGATAAAATAAATCAGTTATTAGAAATGTTAGTTATTAAATTTAGTTATGTTATTAGTTATTAAATCTATTATGTTTAGAAATATGTTGAAAAAATCTGCTCTCTGTTAAACAGAATTTGGGGGGGGGACTAAACATGGGGGGTAATAATTTAAGGGGGCTAATAATTCTGACTTCAACTGTAGTATAGCAGGCCTTGTGGCTGTAAATAGCACATATCTAAACTGAATCTATTATTTGTGTCCGTTAAATAAGACTTTAAAATAGTTTTTAAATATTTAGTATTTAAGTTTTTATTTCTAAAATAGAATTATAGAAAATAATCATTTCTCTTTGATTCTTAGTTCTATGATTTTAAAATAACAATAGTGTTCATCTCTATATTTAGGCTAAAACAAGGCTTTTTGGTTTGTTTGTTTTTACTTTCATTTTAGTTGTCCTTTATTTCTTTTGTTTTAATTTCCAAATTGAATCCTCGTTGCACTTAACAAGTTTACAATGATAAGAAAGCTTAAGTTATTAATGATTTATGAAGAAATTATAATGCTTCGTTATTTCATCTTCAGTTAAAAGTAGCAAGGCATTTTTATTTCTGTCTTTTTGCATCCTGTCTTTTTGTGTCCTGCAGCAGCATTATTGCAAACTGTTGTTACATCTAAAAATATTTTCTCAATCTCTTAGTCCCACCGCGGCACCACACACAGTGGTAATGGTCATATAAAACTGTCACCCACATTCAGATCAGATTAACTAACCGATTTGGACTTATAGTCTCTACAAGGTTCAAAATGATTAAAAAGATTAACAGACTCAAACTATTGAATAGCAGTGACAGCAGTGACACTTAATAGGAAACAATTTAATGCAAGACATCTTTTAAAAAATCTCAGAAAACACAATCACAATGTTTACACTGTTTTAGATTGGGTTCCTATGGTGTGTGAAACAGGGTTAAAAAAATGCACTGTTGGAATGGGCCACTATTTTAGTCATTTCTGAAGCTCTGCGTCCTTGTTTGACAAATAAATGATGACAGAATATTCATTTTTTAAAGGCAACTATAACCAGCATGTTGCCCAAATCCCCTTTTCCTTTCCATCTTATCTTCTTAAAATCCCCATTATCCAGACCACTTCTTTTTACCCTGTAGCTCTCTCCTCGTTTTGGGCTTCGGTGGTTTGCTGATTTAATAGGCTGCCATCACAGATTCCAAGATTTGGATAAAAACAACTCGCAACCACTATGGGGCATTTTGATCCCTCTTGTTAAAGCAGATCTCCCATGTGGTCCTCACCACTGAGAATGGTCTCGGTATGGATGTGGCTACACTGGCTTTAAATAGCCCAGCATATATATGCTAAGGCTAAAGCTGCTAGTGAATTCAGCTTTAGGCACTTTGAAACAGAGGGCTGAGATGAGTCAGACCTCCACGCACCCTGAAGCTGGTAACATCCTTCAAGTCGTATAGCAGAGGTCAGAGGAAAAGCCCCAATCAAGACATAAAACATGATTGATGGTGGTGCAGAGCTCTCAGCGCTGAACGTGACTGCAGCCTACAGGAGGACAATCACTCTGGATGTGCAAACTGACACACCAATAAGGGGCTTTTTGACAGGAGTGTGTATTTCTTTATAACATTTATAGGGCCATTTTGTTGTTTGTCTGTCTATATTTGGACTATATACACTGTTAAAACTTTTGACCCCTCCAACTCAAAATAGTGACTGGTTGTACTGGAAATGTTCAGTTGGCAAAATTAATTGAATTTTGAGAAACATGGCAACAGTCTGTTAACAGTGGCTCATTAAGAAATAATATTTTGAGCTAATGGGAACAAATTCCTAAATGTGGTGTCGAAAGAGCAATTTGATATTTTAAATTGTATTATCCTACTGTCTCAAAAAATAGTACAAATGCATACAGCAATTACAAAAACATCACCAACAACATAGCTGACATTTTATCAACTACCTTTATGGACAAATACATTTTAAAACTGACTATTTGGGGAAAACACTTAATTTTAAAACTCATATTTATGAGCTGTGCCTACATCAATGCATTTGGGCATAATCTGTCTTCTTTTGGATGAGA